ATGCCCCCTGCCCCCCGCCCCGCGCTCACCTGCCTCCCGCGTGCGCCCGCGCACCACCTCGCTCCAGGGCCCCGCGCCGATGGCGTTGAAGGCCTGCATCTGCACCTCGTACTCCGTCCACTCCTCCAGCTCCTCCAGCGCGACCTCCCGCTCCAGCCGGTCGCTGATGACCTGCGCCAGCGCGGGCGCCGGCAGGTCCGGGCGCCAGTACTTGACCCTGTAGCCCACGGACTCGGGGTTCCCGTTGTACTGGGAGTCGGGCAGGGGCTGGGGGGAAAGCGGCGTGAGCCCCCGCGGGCCTGTCCCCCGAGGCCCGGGCCTGGCAGCACTTTCGGGGGGACAGCCTTAGAAACTGTTTCTCTCTGGAACTTTTCTGCCGTTACCCAAATGGAGTCCCGTCGGTAAGTCTGGCTGGATGTGACTTTAAATGCTCCCTGGCTTAATTCTGTGGGACATGACCCGGCTGGGCCTCTGACAGCGGGAGCCCCGTGCTGACCGACCGGGGCCGGGAGGCCAGCCCTGCGCCCCGGCGCCCCCCCCGCGCCTGGGCCCCGCCGGCTGTCCGAGGCCGGGAACAGCGCAGCGTCTATGGGCTCAGTGAGATTAGTCCCGACTGCATCCCGGCTCTGGGGTCCTGGGCGCCCCGGGAGCCCCAGACCACCGCCCGGGGCCCCTCTGCGTCCACTCACCACCCAGCGCAGCCGCAGGCTGGTCTCGCTGGCCGTCCGGACGGTGACGCTGGACGGAGCCACGTCCGGGGGCGCCTGCAGCGTCTGGATGACCCGCGAGGACTGGCTGAAGGGGCTGGCCCCCACCACGTTCACCTGCTTCATTCGGAACCTGGAGGCACAACCGGCGACCAGGTGACGGCGCGGCACAGGGCAGCTCGGGAGACGGAGAAACGAAGGAAAGCAAACCCCACGCCCGGGTCTCGGGGTGGGGGTGGGAGGGGGTCAGGCATGTGTCCACCTGAATCCTAGAGGCCGGTGCTCAAGGGCGCCCTTTCTACNGGGGAGGGGTCTGAGCGCCCCTCTGGGCGGAGCCGTGAGAGTGGGGAGGGGTCTGAGCGCCCCTCTGGGCGGAGCCGTGAGAGGGGGGAGGGGTCTGAGCGCCCCTCTGGGCGGAGCCGTGAGAGTGGGGCGGGGTCTCAGCGCCCCACTGGGCGGAGCCGTGAGAGTGGGGAGGGGTCTGAGCGCCCCTCTGGGCGGAGCCGTGAGAGTGGGGAGGGGTCTGAGCGCCCCTCTGGGCGGAGCCGTGAGAGTGGGGAGGGGTCTGAGCGCCCCTCTGGGCGGAGCCGTGAGAGTGGGGAGGGGTCTGAGCGCCCCTCTGGGCGGAGCCGTGAGAGTGGGGAGGGGTCTGAGCGCCCCTCTGGGCGGAGCCGTGAGAGTGGGGAGGGGTCTGAGCGCCCCTCTGGGCGGAGCCGTGAGAGTGGGGAGGGGTCTGAGCGCCCCTCTGGGCGGAGCCGTGAGAGTGGGGAGGGGTCTGAGCGCCCCTCTGGGCGGAGCCGTGAGAGTGGGGAGGGGTCTGAGCGCCCCTCTGGGCGGAGCCGTGAGAGTGGGGAGGGGTCTGAGCGCCCCTCTGGGCGGAGCCGTGAGAGTGGGGAGGGGTCTGAGCGCCCCTCTGGGCGGAGCCGTGAGAGTGGGGAGGGGTCTGAGCGCCCCTCTGGGCGGAGCCGTGAGAGTGGGGAGGGGTCTGAGCGCCCCTCTGGGCGGAGCCGTGAGAGTGGGGAGGGGTCTGAGCGCCCCTCTGGGCGGAGCCGTGAGAGTGGGGAGGGGTCTGAGCGCCCCTCTGGGCGGAGCCGTGAGAGTGGGGAGGGGTCTGAGCGCCCCTCTGGGCGGAGCCGTGAGAGTGGGGAGGGGTCTGAGCGCCCCTCTGGGCGGAGCCGTGAGAGTGGGGAGGGGTCTGAGCGCCCCTCTGGGCGGAGCCGTGAGAGTGGGGAGGGGTCTGAGCGCCCCTCTGGGCGGAGCCGTGAGAGTGGGGAGGGGTCTGAGCGCCCCTCTGGGCGGAGCCGTGAGAGTGGGGAGGGGTCTGAGCGCCCCTCTGGGCGGAGCCGTGAGAGTGGGGAGGGGTCTGAGCGCCCCTCTGGGCGGAGCCGTGAGAGTGGGGAGGGGTCTGAGCGCCCCTCTGGGCGGAGCCGTGAGAGTGGGGAGGGGTCTGAGCGCCCCTCTGGGCGGAGCCGTGAGAGTGGGGAGGGGTCTGAGCGCCCCTCTGGGCGGAGCCGTGAGAGTGGGGAGGGGTCTGAGCGCCCCTCTGGGCGGAGCCGTGAGAGTGGGGAGGGGTCTGAGCGCCCCTCTGGGCGGAGCCGTGAGAGTGGGGAGGGGTCTGAGCGCCCCTCTGGGCGGAGCCGTGAGAGTGGGGAGGGGTCTGAGCGCCCCTCTGGGCGGAGCCGTGAGAGTGGGGAGGGGTCTGAGCGCCCCTCTGGGCGGAGCCGTGAGNCCCCTGCCCCCCGCCCCGCGCTCACCTGCCTCCCGCGTGCGCCCGCGCACCACCTCGCTCCAGGGCCCCGCGCCGATGGCGTTGAAGGCCTGCATCTGCACCTCGTACTCCGTCCACTCCTCCAGCTCCTCCAGCGCGACCTCCCGCTCCAGCCGGTCGCTGATGACCTGCGCCAGCGCGGGCGCCGGCAGGTCCGGGCGCCAGTACTTGACCCTGTAGCCCACGGACTCGGGGTTCCCGTTGTACTGGGAGTCGGGCAGGGGCTGGGGGGAAAGCGGCGTGAGCCCCCGCGGGCCTGTCCCCCGAGGCCCGGGCCTGGCAGCACTTTCGGGGGGACAGCCTTAGAAACTGTTTCTCTCTGGAACTTTTCTGCCGTTACCCAAATGGAGTCCCGTCGGTAAGTCTGGCTGGATGTGACTTTAAATGCTCCCTGGCTTAATTCTGTGGGACATGACCCGGCTGGGCCTCTGACAGCGGGAGCCCCGTGCTGACCGACCGGGGCCGGGAGGCCAGCCCTGCGCCCCGGCGCCCCCCCCGCGCCTGGGCCCCGCCGGCTGTCCGAGGCCGGGAACAGCGCAGCGTCTATGGGCTCAGTGAGATTAGTCCCGACTGCATCCCGGCTCTGGGGTCCTGGGCGCCCCGGGAGCCCCAGACCACCGCCCGGGGCCCCTCTGCGTCCACTCACCACCCAGCGCAGCCGCAGGCTGGTCTCGCTGGCCGTCCGGACGGTGACGCTGGACGGAGCCACGTCCGGGGGCGCCTGCAGCGTCTGGATGACCCGCGAGGACTGGCTGAAGGGGCTGGCCCCCACCACGTTCACCTGCTTCATTCGGAACCTGGAGGCACAACCGGCGACCAGGTGACGGCGCGGCACAGGGCAGCTCGGGAGACGGAGAAACGAAGGAAAGCAAACCCCACGCCCGGGTCTCGGGGTGGGGGTGGGAGGGGGTCAGGCATGTGTCCACCTGAATCCTAGAGGCCGGTGCTCAAGGGCGCCCTTTCTACCTGGTTTCATTAAAAATGCAAATTACAGGTATGGCCCTTTCCCCTGAAAGACCTCAAAGAAGGGTAAATTTGGAAACCAGTGACTTCAGATTCCCAGGAGAGGCATACGGGTGGGTTCTGTGGCCACAAATCTGTGCCATCAGCTGCCGTGGGCTGGTTCAGGTCTAGGGTCCTCTCAGGGGATCAGAGTTCACATGGCGTTGAACAGGACGGGAGGGTCAGCCCGTCACCAAAAGACACTCTGAAAGTCCCATGTCTTTCTGATGACCCAGGGTGCCTGCGCCCCATTTCCTGTCAGATCGAGAGAGGAGCACTGGCCCCAGAATCCACACCGCGGGATCCAAACCCTGTCGGTCACAAACCGGTGGCCAGTGGGCTCACCTCCGTTTCCTGGTCTGTACAGTGGGGGTGGAGCCAGATGTTCTTTAAAGTCTGTGCCCGTGTTTTCGGCTCTGTCTCGTCTGCATTTACAGCTACGCTTATTTGAACTGGACTTACATATAACACATCCAAAGCTCACACGTGCTTATCACAGAGGCTTCCTTGTTCACATGAAGCTAAGACAGGGACACAGGTCTCTAACGGCAGCTTCAGATCTTAGAAATAATTATACAGCCCACTCCATTTTCACAGGGTAAGGCTTTATCCTGACAGCTTGTCTTAAAGCTCAATGTTTTCTCTAAAAACGAGGGCTTGGCCTGGCTGGTGTGGCTCAGTGGTTGAGTGTTGCCCTATGAACCAGGAGGTCACAGTTCGATTCCTGGTCAGGGCACATGTGGGGTTTTGGGCTCCATCCCCAGCAGGGGGTGTGCAGCAGGGAGCTGATCAAAGACTCTCACCACTGATGCTTCTCTCTCTCTCCCTCTCCCTTAAATCAATAAAAACATTAAAAAAAACCACACAAAATCCCCCAAAACAAAACAAGTGTATCTTGATCTGTCTGCTCCAATCTCAGGGAAAATGTTAAAGGGAACAGAAGCTAATGGTCTCTCGTTAGGATTTTGTTTGGAGCCCAACTTTGGGACTGGACCTGAAAATATTCCCCACGAAGATGCCGTTTCCCCTGCCCCCTGCCCAGCCATCTGTGGTCCTCCCTCCCCGGAGCTGACGGGATGCATCCATCCTGGCAGGACAACGACACTATCAATCTGCGCACGTGTGATAACTGGAAACTGCATTGCCTGCGATCACCGTGCGGGACGTTATAACAGTGCTAACAGCTCGCGATAGCGCTGCCCTTCCTCAAGGCCGAGGATTTACGCCTGGATGTGTTTCAGGGTCAGGAAACAGAGGTGAGATGGAACATTAGGTGCACGATCAGGGAGGCTGGCAGCTCCCGGCCTGGAAGGGGGGGCAGGGGGACTTCGCCTGGACAGCTGCTTCGTCTGCACTTGCAGGGAGTTTTGTAAAGAAAAGCAGCATGTGTCTGACTGCGACGGTGAGCCATCTTGACAGCACGTCCTGCCAGCTGGTGTGGACGGAAGGACGGCTGCTAGCTAGGCCCGGCCCCACATCGGGGACAGACCTCCCCAGGAATAAGACTTTACTCCCACAGCTTCAAGTTTCTGTGACTGCTGGTTGGAAACGCCTCGCTTATGCACATGTACCTGGGTTTTGCTGCTGCAGACAGCGCCACCTGCTGGAGGCCCCCTTCTCTCACCTGTAATGGGTGTAGGGCGTGAGGTTTGGGATCTCCAGGGTCTGGGCGTCCGGCTCATTCTCCTCCTCGTACAGGCTGACCCACTCCTCCTCCTCACCGATGGCACCCACCTGTGGAGAGGGAAATCCTGGGACCGGCTGGACGAGCCGTAGGGCCTAGTCCTAGGGTCGGCAAATTGTGCCTGCTGGCCAAATCCAGTCACCCCTGTTTGTGTAAATAAAGTTTTATTGGAACATGGCCGTGCTCATGGGTCTGTGTTTTGCTGATGGCCAAGTCCATACCCCAGGGCCTTGTAGTGGCTGTAGGGCCTGTCGGGCCTGAGAGCCTGAGGATCCTTATGGAGGAGTCTGCCCACCTTCTCGAGGGTCTGACCCCGAGGGTGTGCACAGCTTCCTTGGCCACACTCCCAGGTCTTGCCGTGCTAGTTTGCTTTGTCCCAAAGGTGCCCCGAGGTAGCGTCAGGGCCTTACTCCTCCCTGTACCTCTGGCAGCTCCCCCGGGCCCAGCCAAAACTCTGGCCCAGCCTGCTGGTTTAACACCAGGACAAGCCACAGATGGACAGAGATGGCAGCTATCCTGCTCTGAGCTCAGACCCAGCACCAGAGACGGCTGTCCTGCACTGAGCCCCACAAGCGAATTAGTACTGGAAACAGGATTTCACTCACAGGCTCCAAGAGCTCCAGGGGACCTTAAGTTCCTACTGAAAGGTTCACACTTTGATCTGTAGAGACCAATTCTTTCGGGTGAGGAACGGAGTCCTTGTGTTCTCACCAGGCCCCTCTGGCTCAGCGAGGTTTTGAGACCATTGAGACGGAGTGTTCTGGAATAACCACTGTTCAGTAACGATGCTCTGGACACAGACGCCACAGAACTCGTTAAAGATAAAACAACCCTGAGCTCTGCAGGGAAGCTGAGCTCTGGTGTTTTTTTTCCCTTTTTCTTCTAAAGCTAACAAACAGCACTTTACAATACTTAAGACAAAAGCAGAAACGCCACACACTTCAAGTGCCACTCAGCGGGCGGTGGGCTTCAGGACCCATTAGGGAGCATGCTGCGTCTGAGTCACCAGGAGACTCTGCCCTGCCCAGTGTCATTCCATGTGCACTCAAGTAATACCTGGCAGCCCAGACCTGCTGCCCACTCGGAGTCAGAACTCACGGTGTCTGCCTGGGGAAGGCCTCGCAGTCTGTGGGGCCTTAGGGACCTCAGCTGGAGACCAGCCGGATGGCCGGGACCTCCAATGCCCCATCCAAGGCTGGGTGACCACCCTGAGTTCAGCACCCCGAGGCCAGGAGACCAGTGGCTCCTCAGAGAACAAACATGAACCTCCTGGAAAAGGTAACTGCGGGCAGAGCTCCACGGAGCTGCAGCGGGGAGGGGAGGGGCAGCGGGCAGGGAGGGCGGGGGAGACAGTGTCCCTTTCACCTGGAGCTAAGGCAGGAAAGGCACTCGGAGATGTCACTCCCTGGAAGCCTGCCAAGCAGTGCACCCTCTCGCCAAGAACTCTGGTGTCAGCGGGAAAACCTGCAGGTCAGCAACTTGCAGAGTTAGCGAGTCGCCTGCCTCTCATTCTGAGTGGCATCCCGGCCAAGCCAGGTGCAGCCTCCGTGAGGCGGCTGGAGGGCTGGAGGCAGGGGACAGATGGGCATCTTGGCACAGCCAGGCCTTGTGGAGGGACACCACACCCCAGGGGGAAAACACCACTGCCGGGGGAGAGAAGGGGGGTCAGGACAGACCCAGGAGAGATTTCGTTGTGGGGTCCCTGCTGTTCCCTAGGGCCTAGCCAGTCAGCTTCTGTGACGAGTAAGGGGAAGCCACAGGGCAAGCGCTCCCTGGAGTCTCTAGGGCTCCCCTCCCCCATTAGTCACCTGCAGTCCAGCCTGAACTTACCGAACACAGGCCTCAGAGTGTCCTGGGCCACAGCTGTCTAGCCAGGAAGTGAGAGGTGAGGCGGATGAACTCCGAGGGCCGGGGAGTGAGGCCGGGCTGTGTGCACTGGGAGCAGGGCTCGGGGGTACAGCCCTGTGCTGCTCATCTCCGGAGGCCACCTGTGGGCCCACGACTGTCCCGGCACTGGGAGCCCCGGGTACCGAGCACCCCGAGCCTGACGTTCTAGAGCTGCTGACGGACGGGGGTGGACTGGGGACAGTGTCAGCCCCGCCCCGTGTTCCCCCCGTCCTGAGGTCCAGACAAGCAGCCGCTCCCCAGCCCTGCCTCTCCCGCCACCCAGTCCTGCTCATCTCTAAACAACACAAACGGAGTCACCGAAACGGAGCTGGAGGAGCTGCCTCGCTCGCCTTATGCCTCACACAGCTGGACGTTAAAACAAAATAACCTTTGGACCGGGCCTAGGGCAGCACTGTGTCCCGAAGGACTGTTTGCAAGGACAACTAGGAGCAGATGTGATGAGACCGGACTGAAAAGTAAAAACACTGTTTAGAACTAGCGTCACTAGGTCAGCGTATCTGCACCACAGCTACGCCTTCCTTCCGGGGTGTCACTGTCCCCTTCTCCTAAACTCCCCTGCCTTTGTCCCCTCATTGGACACTGTTTGGGCTTTGACTGAATCAGTGCCTCCTGAATAGCTATTCTCACTGATCTCAAATACACGCCGGTTGCCTCCCACTTTGAAAGGCCTTTAATTTTTAGGTTAACGTCTCCGAAGTGCGCTCGGCTCCCCCTGCACCTGTCATGCGTGTCGCGGACGTGGTGTCTGTGTCTGTCCCTTCTCTCCCTCAGATACAGCCCCTCTCGAGGACCAGCAGGGACGCCTGTACCTCCCTGTGCCCGAGGTGGGGCTTGGTGTCACTTCCTGAGGCCCTGACGTGCCCCCGAGGACTGGGCACTGTCACTCACGGAGTGAGGTGCGAGGGGGTGTTGGGCGCGGCACAGGGCATGAGCAGCCTGCACCTCCCTGTGTGACGCTGGGCACCTCGGCCTGGGTATGGACAAAGTGAGGGCGGCAGTGGTCAGCCCAGGGGCATCGGGAGCCTCTGATGGGTTGAGGAGCGTGCAGGGCCTGGATACCTCAGTTGTGGCACCATGCTCAGAGACCAGGGACATTTTTAGAAATAAACTAGTCCCTATCAGTGCTCCCCTGGCCTTCACACGGCTCCGGCTCCCGTTCCGGTCTCGTCTCCACTGAGTCCTGCTCACACCTGGCCGTGCAGCTGCTTGGTCCCCCCCAGGTGTACCAGCCACACTTCCAGTTTCTGCATCTGATCCCTGGACATCTGGGGCCCTGCTGACCTGAAGGGGCTGACCTCCCAGGGTCGGTCAAATCCTAGAGACAGAAAACCACTTGCCCAGGTGGGCACCTTTCAGATGCAAACGCCCCAGCCCAGAGCCCACACCCACCCTCCTCTGTGGGCTCTCACAGGCTGTCCCCCTGCCTTGCCACTCAGGGCTGGCCTCAGCACATCTGAATAATAACACATTTTGAAACAACAGGTGCCGTGCAATCTCCCAGTCCTAAGCCTTCCATTCCCTTGGGACGTCTTCCTCTATCAGACACTGCTCACACTTCAAGGTGCAGCTGAAATCTCGCCTCCTGCGTGGAGCCTTCCTTGATTACCTGTCAGTTACTCTTGTGCCATCTTAGCGACACGTTTATAACAACGCCCAGGAGTCTCATTTGTATCCCTCGTTGGACCACATCTCAGCCATACCTCCAACCCCCGGACTATGAGCTTCTGTATGCAGGGACGGGAGTTTTTCATCTTTATGGTCTGGCGTAGAGCGCGATTCCCGAAACCTATCAACAGCAGGTGCTTAACAGACGTTTGCTGGGTGATGGGTGCCTGAGAGGGACAAATATAAAACCTTGGGACCGGGACAGTGAAACATTCAGACAAATCTAAGGCTCCAGCGAGCGGATGGGGCCGAGAGACTCCGAGCAGCTCTCAGGACAGGAGCCGACTCCCGGCACGTTTGACTTGGTTGGACGTTCGAGCTTTATGCCCACGGGGGCTGCTTCTCGGGACTGACCGGCACAGTCAACGCCCCCCAGCCCCGTCCTCCTCGAGTTGCCACTGGGGCGCGGGAACTTCTGTGGGGTTTTCAGAAGCCCGGGCCTGGGCGGCCCACGCGCGGGACGGCCACCTCAGGGCCACCTCAGACCCCTNGCCTCCTGCGCGGCGGGCAGCTGGGGCGCGGCCACTCCTCTCCCCCTCCGGGAAGACACGCACCCGCATCCGGGCTTCTTGTAATGCAGACGCTGAGGGGCACGCACCGGGAGGCCCGGGAGCAGCCCCGACACCGCCCCTAACGCGCGGTCAGAAACCCCGGCTCCGCATCTCCACGTGCGGAGACGGAGGCCCCGGCCTAGGACCCCGCAGGAGACACTCGCTGGGATCTCTCCCGTCCGAGGCAACAGGCAGCCAGCTGGGTCCTTCAATACACTCAGGACGGAAACTGCCGGAAACGGAGGCCAGGCAGCTGGATCTGACACTTCTCAAGCTGTGGGGTTTTTGGTTCCATTTGAACAAATCTCGGTACCGGCAGCTTGACTCTCAGCGGACACTAGGGGGCTCCAGGGGGGCTGCTCTGGCCCCAGGAGGATGGGCCTCCCATTGAGTGAGCACCCCCCCTGCCCCCGGGACTCAACCCCTCTGACCGCAGACACTTCTGGCCTGTCCCGAGCTTCATCAGGAGGCTGGCCGGGCCTGGTCCTTGGCCGGGCCTGCTCGAGGGGCCCGCCTGAGTCTCCAGGTATTTCCCCAGGGGTGGCCCTGCATTCCCTCCCCAGGCCTCCCAGGACATGGTCCTTCCTCTGGGCCCACACTACCCAATGCAGCCTTGGAGGCAGCCACATGTCCGCCTCGACTTTACTGCATTTATGAGGAGCTTTGTGCTTCCCACGTGCAAGTCCACGCTGGGACTTTCAATGACGGTCATGACGGGGAGCCCAGGCCAGGCAGGGCTGCACTGTTGGTCCTAGTGCCCGGCGCCCTGTCCCTGTGCCACGCCCCCTGTGCTCTGACAGCCAGCCTGCCCCGCCCTCGCCTGTGCCCATGTGGATCCCACAGGTCCCAGCAGGTCCCCTCCTGCACCGAGCCAGGCCCCATCCCGAGGGCACCCTGCAACGGAGGGGGGCCGAGCTGGGGAGCTG